GGGCTCAGGCAATCCTCTCACCTTGGCCTCCCAAAGTGCTGGGATTATAGGCGTGAGCCAACACACCCATCCTACAATTTTTAATTTTTTAACAAATAAATTTTGTTGTTTGGGGGGGGTCTCTCCCCCCCACCTCGTATATTAGGACTATGCATGTTTGGTAAAGTTTACATTTAGAAAAGCCTGGTGTTGAAATAAGTTAAACTTCAGAAACATTTACATATTTTTCTAAAATCATCAGCTTGGATGATACTGGGGACAACTGTTATGTTTTTCTACAAGGGTAATCCTGAAAAATAACAAAAATCTTGGTTTAATGTTATAAATCACACCTGCAAGTAAGTAAGAACAAGTTCAGGCTGGGCGTGGTGGCTCATGCCTATAATCTCAGCACTTTGGGAGGTAGAGGATTGCCTGAGTTCAGGGGTTCAAGACCAGCATGAGCAACATGGCGAAACCTCATTTCTACAATAAATCAAAAACTTAGCCAGCGTGATGGTACATGCCTGTAGTTTCAGTTACTTGGAAGGCTGAGGTAGAAGAATCACTTGAGTCCTACAGGTTGAGGCTACAGTAGCCATGAGCATGCCACTGCACTCCAGCCTGGAAGACAGAGTAAGACTCCATCTCAAAAAAAAATAAAAATAAAAAGAATAAGGTCAACATTAACGCAGAAACAGATGTCAAAAGAAGCAACTGCTTTTTCCACTTTTTAAATAGGTTAAGAATGGATGACTGTACTTGACCAAGTTAGTCCAATACAAAATAATAAAACATTCTTAGTTTGCATTTCAAACCTCACTGGAATTTTTTTCCTTCAAAGATGAGGAATTTTTTTTCCTTCAGAGATGAAGAAAATATTCTTCCTTTAAAAAAAAATAAAGTCAGGCAGGAATTTTTAATGCAGTATCATAGGAGGACTCTTGAATCCTGTCTTCTATTCAACTATTTTTGGTATGCATCTAGGAAAATTCTGAATGGACAGATGCCCCAGATGTTCTCATTTAAAATGAAACTATGGGAAAACGACCACTAATAAGAAAACTTCCTACAAAAAAAAGCCCTGGTCCAGATGGCTTTCCAGCAGAATTC